CTCCATGGTTGCTTTCTTAGGACTCCAACTATTTGAGTTGTAAATCAATACAGATACAACTTGAGCATCATATAACCTCAGCTTTCTTTCAAGGGAAATTTTCTTACCGGACAACCATACTTTTCCAAAGTTCTTAAAAGCAATCTCAGCTAGGATTCTCCTTCTTTGAATGTCCTTCTCAGTACAGAGTAAGGAACCTAGTGACTTGTTACTTCGCCATGGTTCGTTATTAGCTAATGGCTGACCGTTTGTGTCTTTATCAGATTTTTTCGCCAGGTAGAAGGTACTGAATTCAGTTTTACTTTCATTTACTTGGAGGTTCCAGTCTTTGAGAATCTTCTTCACTGTAGGAAGGAAAATTCTCAGTTTCTCGATGTCCTCGTCAGCAAAGTCCACAATCGTCTGAATATTCCCACTCAGTTGGAAAACCTAGTTCTGATACTGGTGGGTTTGGTCTCCCAGATACAGCTCTGAGGTGGTGTAAGGCTGCTGCAAGAATAAGTGTGAATAGCTTTCCAGATAAACTGTCACCTTGAAAGGCACCTTGAAAGTTTGACATAGGCACACTAAATACACAGTATTCTTTATTATGGTCTCATGTCACGATACTTATTTGTTGATGAATTAGCTACTCTCTAACTTCTAAATATTGTACAACAAGTGATTACGTAATATGTGAACGACCCCTAATGCAGAAACAAACCACGGTTAGAAGACACTACAATATATCCTCTGGTTCGCCTGCAGGCTGCACCCTCCGTGGGGTGTGGTTTACAATTGCATTGTACGACATCCTTTATCCCACTAGAGTACCAGTCTATGATAGCAATGATTACCGAGTAATGGTCTTCTGAGTAACAACATGTCTCATTTCTTGGTAAGATTGGATACTTTTTTTGAAGTTCAATGAACAGGTGACTCTAAGGTTAGTTATAACATTGAAAATTTGATTTCGAGTTAACGTGCCCCACCCCCCCCCCCCCCCACCCCCCCCCCCCTTACTTGTACACTCATACAAAAGTTATATTATGTTATGTGTAAACACATATCAGGACTGTTAGTGTTATGGCCACATGTAATATAGGTCGTTGTTCAGTCTGCTTTGCAGTTGTTGTTGGTTGTAAGCATTAAAAATGGCTGATTAAGAGATCATTTAAGGGTTGCGTGTGGGCAGTTTGTTCTGGGCAACCTTGTTATTATGCTACTAGTGTAACCCGGCCTTCGGACGGGATTTCACTGCCGCAGTTAAAAAGGATAGGAGTAATTATCCACTGAGTCAAAACCCGCATTAGGTGAGCAATTCTCCCATATCCACAAAGTTGGCAAACCCAACAGATATCTGGGAGGAAATTTGGGAAGAATGAGGAAATTTTTGGCATCTGAGAGGAAATTTCTTGGTTAGCGACTGACAATTGCAGTCCGCAAAGAGCAGTTCAATCATTGGGTATCGAGAGGAAATTTTTCCTCTCTAAATGACTTAAAATTCGTGCCATCTTTAATTTTAATTTGTCCAATGTTTTGAATCCAAAATATTACCGAGTGTCTAATCAACTACTTTGAACCTTCTCTATTGATATCCTATTGGTCTATCATATAATCCAGTTAAAAATTTTCCGGAGGCTGCACCCTTAAAATATTACTAATAACCAAGTGTCTAATCAACTGTTTTGAACCTTCTGTATTGATATCCTATTGGTCTATCATATAATCCAGTTAAAAATTTTCCGGATGCTGCGCCCCCTGCCCCCTTAAAATATTACTAATAACCAAGTGTCTAATCAACTGTTTTGAACCTTCTGTATTGATATCCTATTGGTTTAGCTTATGATGCGATGCAGTTAAAAATTTTCCGGAGGCTGCACCCCTTAAAATATTACTAATAACCAAGTGTCTAATCAATTGTTTTGAACCTTCTGTATTGATATCCTATCGGTTTAGCATATAATCCAGTTAACATTTTCCGGGGGCTGCGCCCCCGAGCCTCTGCCGCAGTAGCCTCCTCGCCCACCCCTTTTAAAAATCCTGCGCACGCCCCTGTTGGGAAAGTAACTTAGCCGCTGCGAGCGAAGCGAGTGGGCCACAGAAGAGTCTGAAAATGGGTTTGGGAGGAAATTGGCAATTGCCAATTCTATTCGAAGTGCCCTCACGTATCCAATAGTATCTTAAACAATAATCTCATAATCAGTTCTTTCTTGTGGATAATTAAGTCATTATTAGGCACCACATTCCATGATCATCAGGTCCGAACACCGACTATAACACTTAATCACTCCCGTCTTCAACCGCTTTCCATTTTTATTTAAATCGATTTAGAAATTAACCCTTGTTAACTCCTCACCACACCCGCCAATTATATTTGAAAACAAGCATAACATTGTCGTATGAAAGTATGAACTCTCTCTGCAGTCTTAACAGACCCCAAACACTAACAGTGCCCCCTCTCCTAATAAGCTTAGGGTATAACATTACAGCGAATCTTACCCGGAAAACCCAATTATGACGCTACTTATGCAGCTACATATGCAGTAATGGGAGAGAGAGCGAGCTCCATAATTCTTACCGTTTTCTTGATAAAGCTGCTCAAGCCATTTTATGTAACATTTGTGGTACAAAACTATCAATTAAACCACTTACCACCGACCGATTTAAAAAAACTTTACCATTTGGCTTCCTCATATTTTAGTCGGCACTATACCGAAAAAACCAGCCCCGTAACTCTTACCGTTTTCTTGATTAAGCCGTTCGGAAATTACACACACACAGAAAACACACAGAAAACACACATTCTGAGATTATTGTTTAAGATACTTAATACCCTGTACAAATAAAAAACATTGAACAAAGAAATTGTTATTAATATGCGTATATTGATGTATACTGTATAGCAGTGTAACCTCTATTGAGAAACGTAGCTTTCTTTCATAGAAAACATCATTACATGTAGTGCTGGTAAATAACGTTTATATGCTCATCGTTCGTTTATATAAAGTCCCCCCAAGTGTGTTCCTTGATATATTGTCCCTATTCCTTTATTTTATGACCCACCACCCCAACGTCACCTACAGTACTCAGCACCAAATCCCGTATTCTTAGGAAGAAAAGTTGTACTATTATATACATCATTACTTGTTTTTCCTGAGTTTTAAAAGTAATTCCACTCTCCGATCTATTTAATGATACGTCATGAAAAACTTTTGACCCTGACCATAGTTATGGGCATGTCGTTCTTATCTCGTTGTACACAGCGATACCTGAAGTTGAAATGCACAAATCTGATAGAACGAATATCGGCTAATTGTGCGAAAAAGTTGATAGCAGTGTTAGGTCAATAACAGTGTTAGGTCAATAGAGCGAATCTGAGCCCACTGCGCAGATTTAAGTTCGATGAACAGGTGACTCTCCAGGTTAGTTATAACCATTGGAAATTTGATTTTAAGTTATCGACTAACGTGCCCCCCCCCCCCCCCCCGTACATTCTTGTAACGACTGTTATATTTCTATTGATTGAAACGAGCTAGGGACTAATGATGAAATGTAACCGGAATGTGTTAAGTGTAAATGTGCCACATGGCGTGAATGTGAATGATAGATTAGTGATATATAGTTAAACTTAAATGTATACATTTGATATATTTTGTTGTTCAGTCTGTTTTGCAGTTGTTGTTTGTCGTAAGCAGTAAAAATGGCTGATTAAGAGATCATTAAAGGGTTACGTTTATGCTGATTGTTCGTTTATATTAAGTCTCCCAAGTCTGTTCCTTGATATTTTGTCCCTATTCCTTCATCATATGACCCACCAGTGCACCACTCCAACGTCACATACAGTACTCGGCACCCGAACCCCGTATTTTTAGGAACAAAAATTGTTCTATCCATCATTACATGTTTTTCCTGAGTTTTAAAAGTAATTCCACTTTCCGATCTATTTAATGATACGTCATGAAAAATGTTTGACCCTAACCATAGTTATGGGCATGTCGTTCTTATCTCGTTGTACACAGCGATACCAAGTTGAAGTGCACAAATCTGATAGAACGAATATCGGTCGATAGTGCGAGAAAGTGCGGTATTATGTCAATAGAGCAAATCCGCATCCACTGCACTTAGGGGTCGTTCACATATTACGTAATCAGCAGAGGGGGGGTTTTAAATGCTTACGGTTGGTTACGGGGGGGGGGGGGGGGGGGGGGGGGGCGGGGTGGGGTTTGGTCTTACGTAATCAACATTTTAATTTTTTACCGATTTCGAAAGACCAATTGGATAATTTTCGTTAATTATGTAATCAAAATTTTCGGTTTTTAAACCAATTTTCGTTTAGTAAGTGCTTTGCGATTATTTCATTCATTAATCCGTTGTGATAACTTTTAATAAATAAATGGCTTAACATGAACATGTAATAGATAGTAATAAAATTAAATCAGTAATAAAATTATTAAACCAGTAATAAAATTAAATCAACGACAAAATTAAATCAACGACAAAATTACACAATATCTATACGTTTAAGAACATAGAGGTCTTTCAAAGCAGCTCTTACAGCGGGTAGTGTCTTCATGCTTGTTAACTGACCAAATTTAGTCAGGGCTTCGACGTAGGTCAGGTTTGCAGCTCTGTGCCTAACCATTAACGCTGCAGCTTCTCTTGAACGACAGTTCACCCCCGGGACCGTTTTCGCGTAAGTTTGAAGTCTAATCTTGATTACGTAATATAGTTATATAGGGGGGGGGGGGGGGGGGGGGGGGGTTCGGTCTTGATTACGGTTAATTACGGAGGGGGGAGGGGGGGGGGGGGGGGGTAAAAATTGCCAAAATATTGATTACGTAATATGTGAACGACCCCTTATGTGTTGCCTCTGTGTCTCGTAACACCGCGTTCTGATCGTATGTACATTTTACGAGTCCACTTGGCAGATTGTTTTGCATTTAGAATTACGCACTTAAAACTGTAGTAACTAGTGCCAAACGTTTTAATTTGCTGAAGCTCAACTTTTCACCAGCACAGGCAGATAAATAAACAATCATGGATGAAGATGAAATAACAGAAATCACAACCGATGGAGACACCACCAATACCATCGCCAAATATGGGTCAACCTCACAAGCGTCGGATGAAAAGCTGCTTGAACTGAACGAGATCTATGAAATGATAGGACTTGGTCCTGCACAATATCTTTACTGGACCTTAGTTGCTCTGGTGGCGTATTCTGACTATGCTGAATTGACTGTTATGGCAGTTATTCTTCCTTCTTTGAGATGTGAATGGGGACTAACTGCAGGTTTTGAAGCAGCTATCACAATATCAACGTATGGCTCTTACGCACTGTTTGCAATTATGTTCGGGAAAGTTTCAGACATATACGGAAGGAAAACTGTGATTCAATGGTCGACACTTTTATTGTTATTTGCAGCAATTGGTGGCGCCTTATCGCCAAATAAGTGGGTCTTTCTTGCAACTAGGTTGGTGACTGGTGCATGCATTGGTATTAATCTCAGCTGCATAGTCTGCTACACCGCTGAGTTTGCTGAAAGCAAGTATCGAGTCTATGGAGTCCTAGGGTTTATTTTTGGGGCACATGGTAGCATAGGAATAGTCAGCGGAGTGGCATTTCTAGTCCTAAACAATGTTGGATGGCAGTGGTTGATCATTATTGTCTCATTGCCTGCCATCCCTGCTTTAATCTTGATTCTTGCTCTTCCTGAATCCCCTCGATTTCTTTGTGTCAGTGGACAACAGGAAAAAGCTATGAAAGCTGTCAGGACCATGGCCAAGCTAAACAGAAGAGAGTTACAAAAAGACATACGAATGGCCTGTTTTAATGATGAAAAATTGGGGTCATACACCAAAATCTTGAACAAGGACAACAGAAAGTCAACCATCGCCCTCTCCGTCATGTACTTCTGCGACATCTTCATTGGGTTTGGCCTGATAGTGTGGCTACCTCTCATTTATAGTGCTAACATGTGCGGAGACGTTAAAACAGCACAACATGAAAATACATGCCAAAGCTTGACCCAAGGTGATCTCTTGAAGTTAACGATTGCCACTGTAGCAAGTCTTTCGGGTTCAATAGCGGCTGTGATTTTAGTGCCACGCATTGGCCGGCTCATACCGATGAGAGTGGCAACTTTTATCATGTTGCTATCGATAGCAACTCTCTTTGTTTGTGTTAACGATTCGTTCACTTTTGCAACAACGATAATCGCTAAAATTGTCGAGACCTTTGTGAATACCACACTTTGGATCATGATACCAGAAAGTTTCCCCACTTGCATCCGATCTACAGCAACTGGTTTCATCAACAGTTGTGGAAAAATAGGAGGCGTTTTCGGGACGGCGTGTGTCTATTTATTGTTCTATGTGAGCCCCTACTCTGTGGTTGGTATCTTTCTTTTCATTTCTTTCGTTGGATTTGTGGGGACAATGGTGTACGATAGGGAGACTAAGTATGAGATTCTCCAAGAGAAGTAAAATAAAACATTTTAGAGACTTTCATTTTATTTCATTTCAAATGATATTTAATTTTGTTAAAGCTTTGATCGCTCCATGAGGGCTTGCAAGTAAAAACTTAATTTTTTTGCTTGAAATTTAAAAAATCTTTATAGTTTACCAAACTGAAGTCAGAAATTGAAACATGAGTTTGATAGGTGCGGCTTATCCTCAGCGACTTGAGAATTAAACCACAACTTCGTGCTGTGAACCTACTCAGGATAATCCTCATTATCCTGAGAATTGAGATCCATACTTAATTTCTAATCGTCAACTCGGAACTGAGGATAACCCTCAGCTGCTACTTTATCTGGACCTCGGGATTTAAAAGTAATCCCACATCCAAATATGGCTCGGTTCACCAAAATTTACCATAAATGTTAGGCTTTGTAGTTTAAGTTGAGCCGTAGTTTTAGCTAGTTTTAGCTACTGCTAGCAGTGCAGTATTTCTACTTTCTAGTTTCTACGTATGTTTTATTGCAAATTTCTCGGAGACGATTAATTGAAAAGTCTGATCATACTGAGGAAGAACCACGATTTTTATGTTACTAGCCGTAGTCTAATTTAAGCCGTATGTTGTATTTTCTATATTTAAACGTACTTAACGTAGACAATTTTGGCCGGGGCCGGGTCCCGGTCGACCACTGACTATAGCCCATATATGAGACAAGAGTAACACTATCTTAGGGGGTGAGGAGAGTTAGGCTAGGACTTTTCGGACTACATTAAATCAATTCCTTCTGTAATGTCCTCAATAAATGTATATTTGTAGTGTTGTAATCAGTTAAAAACAAATAGAGATATCAGTATGTTTGTTCTAGTTACGTTCTAGAATGTTACCATCAGATAAAGTGCTGTAACTGTAAGTGAGACCCATCTGTTTTGTGTCTTTAAATTTACAAGGTTTCAAAAAACGTCGTAACGTGTTCTTGATGGTCGACATAAGACGCAGCATTTGTATTTGGTCTCAACTGTCATTCTCAAGTGAAATCATATTGATTAATTTCGATTTTAGCGAAAATTTATGCCACAATATTACGCAATACGGAAATAGAGTTAACAGTTGCACTTAAACAGATATAAAGTCTTGATTCATAAATGTGATTAAAACTGGGAGAACGGTTATATTAAGCTAAACTCACCTTTTCTTTTTCCTTCCTCACTATTTCATCTTGTCTTTGTTTTTTCTCACGCAGCAGCGTTTCTTTATCATCAATCTGCAAAAATAGTGTTGTGAAAAGTGCAACGTTAGCCATCTAGATTACGTTCACGAAACATAGTACTGCAGGGATACAATTAATTAAATCAGACAAACCGTCTGTAGGGAATGAGAAAAATTAATGTTACTGAAGAAAAGGGTAATCATCAGTCACTAATGTAACCAGAGTTTACGGCGTCAACTTTTGGACGTCCGAAAATATAAATGACGGAAATTGTCCGTGATTTGACAACTTTTTAGATGCGCGTGTCATCAACCTGTTTACACATGCTTCTGACAAACGAACTGACATTGATAATATCTTCCTTATGTTTTATAGAGACCCTCATGCTTAAGTGTCAAGTCCACAGTATTTTTAGGTCTGGGGCGACAATGGTAATCATAGGGCATCGTTGAAGAGAAAAATAAACTATTATAAAGTGCGGAAAAAAGTAATCCCTTGTGTTTGACATTTGACAATAAATTTTTTTCAGCGAGTCAAAATTTTTATAACATCATCAAAAAGAGTTGGACATGTTTTCAAGTCAACAATATTCTGAAATAAATATTGTAACGAGTCGAAAAAAATCCCACTTCCGGGAAATAAATAATCAAAAGAAACACTAACCTTGAACACAGCAGGATCACCCAACTCCCTATCCTCCAACCTGACTCCCAGTTCCGGCAACACGTTATCCCTCAAATTATCACACTTTTTAAGAATGTCAAACGCTTTTAGCTCACGTGCTGAGCCGCGCACTTCATCACGGAATTCGGACAATGCTTTGACGAACGGAAGCGCGACCTCGTCCGTTGAGACAGAACCTTCGCCGGCTAAATTGGAGTTGGTTGTTAGATTTGGTACAAAACGTATCCTCTACAATCCAGCGACAACAGAATAAAAATAATTTAGTTGAAAGAATGAAGAAATAGCATAATCAATGTCGTGATTATCAGACTGATAGTTACCTGAAGCGAAACCAATGTTGTCCTGACTGCCGGCAACTCCGAACACAGAAAGTATCTTAGTTATGTACACTGCAACTTGTATCAGGAGTCTCACATTAGGAGCGTCCTTCTGTGCGCTCAGATATGTGTAGGAATCTGTACATTTAATCAGTCAATTTAGTGTATATATATAATTGATTTACAATTGATATGATTAATTAATTCTAATCAATTAAATTGGATTTGTAGTTTTTCTGAGTAAACCTCACCTGAAACAACCGATTTTAAGACTCTCATGGCAGTTGGAGTATCGAAACTATCCGCCAGAGCGTTGTGGACAACCTTCTGGCATTCTTGTAATTGTTGATAGAGTTTCAGTTCAAGGGGTGTAAGCTTGGTGAAGCTGGAGATACCCTCTCCCAGGGACGATTTGTGGTATTTCACTAGTAGGAAGAAATCCTGTAAAGAATAAATAAATAAATTGGAGGTAATATCCTCTTGTTTTATGTTAAACTTACGTAATGTTTTTAAATTGAAAAACAACTTTAAGAGTGATTTTACCGTTTAAAAGTCCGAGTTAAACAGCGGCCTTTATAATATCCATTTAGGAAACTGTTCTCAAAAATCTGTTTTATATGACAGTAATTCATACTTGTAAACTGTAAACTGTAAAGCAACTTCAGACGGCGTTTAAATGATGTTTTATTTATACTGGAGTATTTAAAATCACAACCTCTTTTAAACGAAAATGCCTTGATAGTCCAGAGTTGGCCAGTAATTGAGAGTTACCACACCACCAACGAAACATTATGGTTGAGTTATAACGAACATATGTGCTAAGTGCTTTGTAAATATGTCCATATAAAAGATTTATGATTCAGTAAAACCATTAGGTTCAAGTTAAGTGCTACTAATCGATTCAGATAGAGAGGAAAATCGTTTTATCTTAGAACAGATGTGATTGATATAGTTACTTTTATTGTGTTCTTAAGAGTATTTTTTCGTACATAATCTGTGTGGATACTCTGTCTCGGTCATCTGTTTGTGCGTGCATTTTGTTGACTCGCCTTAATAAAAAAAAAGGTTGTGCTACTAACACATTTGATAACGGCACACTTTCTACTGGCACACTTTCTACCGGTACACTTGCTACCGGTACACTTGCTACCGGCACACTTGCTACCGGCACACTTGCTACCGGTACACTTTCTACTGGCACACTTGCTACCGGCACACTTTCTACCGGCACACTTGCTACTGGCACACTTACTACCGGCACACTTGCTACCGGCACACTTTCTACTGGCACACTTGCTACCGGCACACTTTCTACTGGCACACTTGCTACCGGCACACTTACTACCGGCACACTTTATACCGGCACACTTACGTTAAAATATTTCTCAGTTGTGACTGCCTCCGACATAGCACTCTCGCTGTAATCTAATCCTCCGTGCCAAGAGTGGGACAGGAAATGTATCTGAAATATTTTAACATTAATAATTCGTTATTTTTGATTGATTATCATTATTCATTTTTGATAGGAATTGAATTGAGTCGCCATAAGGTCATTTATTCCAAAATTCTTGATAGTTAAAAGCTAACGGAACCCCTCGGTTTCAGTTCCTTGTTTAACACTGCCGTAAAGCAAGGACATTCGCCGAGTTCTCCAAGGATGGGCGCATAGCTCACTCCACACAATGCTCTGTCAAATGTTGCTTATATATCAAGGATCTTCAGAAAATATTTCCTTGTAAGTTTAGAGGGCGATCTGTGAACAGACAACTACCTCATTCCCAACTATAGGAACCAGAATTCCTATACTATCCCAACAAGCTACACCAAGCATAGTTTCAGCATATATCACTATCAAAGCAAACTCACCCTCAATTGACGACCAGTATTCTTTTTTAAAGCGTCTTTAATAGTGATAAAATTTTTCAGACTTTTGCTCATTTTGCAACCTTCTATGCTGAGATGTCCAGCATGTATAAAATAGTTCACCTGAAAAGTATTTAGATTAATTCTATTAGAAAAATCCTGGGCTTTGATCAATCAAAGCTTCGACTAATAACGAATTGAAATGGTAGTCACAAATAAATAATCAGTTGGAAATAATGTTGTTTACCAATGTATTATTCTAACAGGACCTTCCAAAAAGTTGTCCATTCAATGTTTTTGTCCCATTGAAAATTGAAACTGATAATTTCCTCCTGGTCCAGTACAGTCATCACTGAACAAATCTAAATTAATGCAAACATTCCGTACAGTAAAACTTACTAACCTAAAAGTAAGTACAAATAAAACTAACCCATTGTTTTGAGTTAGAGTAACCCTCAGCCTGTAGGATCTCATTATCGTGATGAGGGAACAACAAGTCTTCCCCTCCAGAATGGATATCCAGCTGGTTGTTGCAGATAGAACTGTAATGAGATGTTAATTAGGCGGTGATTATCAGTTAATTAGATCAAATAAATATGTAGATCATGAATATTTGACAAAGCAAGTTCTTGTGTTCACGTTGACTTATAGTGCACCGATTTAGAATTGGCGGTCGAGATTTCTGATAGTTATAGTAGAATGCCTTACGGTATTTCTGCTCGATACGCTACGAACTCGTAGTTTAAGTCAACTAGAGGGAACGGAAAGAGGATACGAAGGAGGAGGAAAGAAGTGGGGTGATGAGATTGGATAGGAAGGGAGGTTAGAGAGAAGGGTTGGTGAGGTCAGCCGGCGGAGATTGTGCGATTGTTTGTGATAATGCTACATTTTACTGAGTAATAATTACGCAAGCCGATGCATTACCCCACATGTTTGTTGAAACCTATATAATTAGTTTGATGATTTTAATGAAATAAATTGTATGTACTGAAAGGCTAACGCAACTAAATTGCTGTATCGGACGGAAATTAATATGGCAAAATGTTAAGTAAAGTAGACACCAAACTAGTGTATACTGTTCAATAGGAACATCTGTTCAATGAACATTGAAAGTTAGTCAAGACTCAAGACTAAATTTTTGCGGGAGAACCATTTAAAAGTATAAAGAGGTATAATTGTGTGATCACATCTAATCATACCGCTAAAAAGTCTGTGTCTTACTGTGTGCCTTTATGATAAAATACTATTAAAATAGTATACCTATAATAATGGGACATATAACGAGAACAGCTGCCATATAAATAATAATAACATTATAGGAATACTGAATACTAATTACTACAGTCGATTAACGACTGTACTAAATACTCCTGAGGAGGTCTAACACACCTGATGCCTTCTGAATCTTCATTTTTCAATCCCAGATTGATAAATTACTAGGGGGGGGGGGGGGGGGGGATGCAACGTCAATTAATGTCAATTAATGTCAATTAATGTCAATTAATGTCAATTAATGTCAATGTCAGTTTTGCACAATTTTGGAATACTGACATTAATTGACACGATATTTTTCGACCAGAGATTATGTAGTTCTACCATATTTTTAGCACTTTAGAACGTTTATATTATCAATTTATTCACTACTATCACATATGGAAATGTGAAATGTGAAAAAATTCAGATCATTAAACAATAAAACTAAAATAATACGGTTTTCCGAAATTTAATTTTCTTAAATGGGCGTGGCCATCCAAGGGCGTGGTTCTCAACATCATCAGAACTTAAAACCCACATTAAACGAAATGCCTTCATGACATTTATATTTGAATAACGAATCTCAAACAGCTAGCATTACTCCTTCATACTAAAAAAGCCGATTCTAGATATTTTACCTGTATAAGAAACCAATAAAATATGGGCGTGGCCGGTGGGGACCGAAGATGGAAGAGTTTGAAGCTGAAATTTTTTTTGGTGGTCTTTGAACCTAAGGATCAACAGATAAGAACATACTCATAATTATTCAAGGACATTTTGTTTTTTGAACCGGTCTAACTTACATAGACGTGAATATCTTGAATATTTATCGAATAATGATAATCTCAAATTTCAAGACAAATTAATGTCAATTAATGTCAATTAATGTCAATTAATGTCAATTAATGTCAATGTCAGTTGGGGTTTTTATGGAATACTGACATTAATTGACGTTGCATCCCCCCATTACTAGTTTTAATTGCATACTAAGACCTTTTACGGCCCTTCTTTTTCGTTTAGCGTCATAGCATCGCGCCTTTAGTGACAGCCATGGAATATGTCCCACAAAATGCAATCTACGGGGATGTGAAAATGTCTGGACCTTTCTAATTAAAACTATTTCCACCTTCTAACACTTGGTCCACTGGTAATACTTGCTGTAACGTTCCTCCTCTGCTTATCATTACGCTCCATTAGGAAGGCAAACAAATTGAGATTAAGGTGGGCAGGATCATTAGGATTTAATTAGGGTCTAATGAGGATGACGTACCATTGTTTTGAATTTATCTTATTTACTTGAATAAACAATGAATAAAACATAGAATTTCTGCCAACTTTTAAGACAAAGTTGTTTTCTAAAATTAAAACAGACAAAATTCTAAAGTAATCATCGAGTCAGCTGTTGTTCCTTTCGTTATACATTTACCATCTGCTACCGTCTCAGCATAGCTCTTGGGTAGTGGTCGACTTAAGTTTGCGTCATAACGGTGTGTACGGTTGAATCGGTAGCTTAGTAAGTATTGATGGATGATTTTATAGAATTATTTGAGTACTGTAATTATGCGTACTGGTTGTATTTAGGGTATTTAATATTTAAAATTATTTCTGCTCATCGCTGCCTAAACATGAATTTGTGCATACCTAAAGAATTTAGTAAATTGGCTCTGCTTGTTTGACGTTGTTATATCTTGATATCTTTATTATTAAACATTTCGACAAAATCATGCCCCCAAATGAAAATTCTGTATATAATGTTAATCAGTCACCAAGAAAAATCAACATCTCTTCATTTTTAGTAAGGTTATGACGTCAAACCAGTCCTCGACCCTAAACTCAGCAATACAAAAGAAGATCGAGAACGATGCTGAACGTTACACCTGGGCTCTCTGGCTAAGTAAGCTACTGATGGTTACAAGACCGTTGAAAGCAAAGTGTTGGTCAAGAATGCGAGGTCACGGGGTTTGTGCTGCACTATGGGCTTTATCTTGTAGTGTTCCACTGACCATTCTCATTGTTGACAAGGACGATTTGGGGGTGAATCAAACTACTTACACTTGCAGTTATAATTCTACTGGGGATATCTGGAAGTTTCTAAAACTTATAATTTTAGGATTATTTGTAGCGATACCAACAGTCATAATGGTGGTTACATCCATCCTGTTGGTGAAACATCTGCGGTATGCACGAGAAGTAGCCCTTAAAACACGTGGGAATGTCCGGTGGCAGGGAATAGCCACAGTGGTTCTCACAGCAACTATGCATTTGCTTTCTTCACTCCCAACATCTATTCACATGGTAATCTGGCCGTATGTCAAGAGTTACACCTACCGAGTGAATGCGCCTCGAGTTACAGATACATTTATGTATTTAAATGTTGTAGCCAATGTCTTTGTTTACAGTATTACTGTAGGCAGTTTTCGGGAGTTTCTGAAAACGAGGGTTAAACAGACCTCTTCGTACTTATCAGATGTTATCGTTAACCCAGGTAAGGATCAAACAGTTTCTCTTCACAATTTCAAAACTCTTCAATGTAATCACTTAACTGTAATCACCTTGAACTAAAAATCCGTCGTGATTATCACTGCAAATTGAAAAACAATTTTATCAGGGAGATCCACTCAAGTTGGCACTACAGTCTCAACTACTGAAGACAACAACGTGATCGAGAGTCTTCGGGAGACTACCATCTGAATCGACTTAGTGCCATGATCTGAGCGGTTAGAAACATACATTTTTGAAATGTGAACGATGTGAACAGGTACGGTTTTAGACATCTGATATTTAATATAATGGAGCGAATTTCCGAAATTTCGATGTTCTTCAGGGATTTCTTTTCAAACCAAGCAGACCTTTGAAGTTTATAGGATGTTAGCAAAATCATCCAAAAATATTCCATTTAGTATTGCAAGAAATGCTGTCAATTTGGACAATTTATTACATAAAATTAAGATTTGGCCTCCTACTCCCTACTCTTGCTTTTTTGGAGTTCAGTGTTATATATTCTATGTACAGATTTGTGTGATTATATTCACAAGATTTCCATACACATTTATTGTCTGTGTTCCCATTCGTGAGTGAATTCCCCACATCCTAATGTATGCTCACTGATATGCTAACCAGTGTAAATATAAAATAAAAGAGAAAGGTGGGGGAGTCGAGTGAGCAGAGGCGTGGAAGGAGAATTCGAATTTGAATAACTGTCAAAACGAAATGGAAATTACAAAGTACTTACTCGGCCATAGCACTGCACTCGATATGCCAGCCTGGTCGACCTTGGCCCCAGGGACTCTCCCAGAATGGTTCTCCGGGTTTGCTACTCTTCCACAGAGCGAAATCTACTTGATTCTTCTTCTCTTTGCTGTTCACATCCGAGAATTTACCTGAAATAAAGTATTAATAATTTTTTTATCAATAAACTTTCAAATTGTTACACAAATACATCATTTTATTTCAAAGAAAATATCGCCGAATGACCTTACATGCCTTGACAAGTGACCGAGTGTAAACAAAATAAGGGACACCGAAACACCAGTTGACCAGTAAACTGATCATAGCAATTACATCGGGCCCTAAATGCACCTATAAGTGAAGCGATGCTGCAACCAAGGCATGCTAGGTTTATTCCATTGAACTAATAAGGTTACAGCCTAAAATATAAATATAATAAATAACAATGTACCATAAATCATAATTATAAACACACTTTATTTAACATATTTTATTAATTATACTTCATATCAATTTATATTTAGACAATATAGTTACATTAAGGTAAATTGTTTAACTGTCAGAGGATGTTATATGGTCGTTTAGAACTGTCCAGAGGTACTTAATTAAATGGGTTTTAAACACGGATGGCCTTGAGATTTGCCTTAATTCATAAGGGAGTTTATTCCAAAGAATGTGTGCTCTGTAAAAGTAAGACTTAGATATGCCTGAACATCTGGTCTGGCTTGACGTAAGGTTTTGTGGAACTTGAGGAGAAATGTCACTAATCATACTGAGATCGTCTAGATGTGATCGCCTTAACCTACTTCCCATGAAACGACGTAAGTAAGGTGGAAATGTCACAACTGACATGTCATAAAAAATATTATGAAAATATAATATATCCTTGTAATCAAACCTTACCGAGAGTGGAAGGATATTTAGTTCCTTACACGCTATGAAATACCTTTTTTTGTCCCTAAGGCTCAAGTAAATATCATTAAGGATCCACTTGATACCTCTTTTTTGTATCGATTCAAGTTTCTCCACCGAGGTTTCTGAATGAGGCCGCCAGACAATTGTGCAGTGTTCGAAATGACTTCTAACCTGAGATAGATAGAAGGCCCGACGTTTTTTAGTGTTCTTGGTGAAGTAACATGTTCTTTTTAGAAGGCCTAACCTCTGACTAGCCTTAGAGTATATCATATCACAGTGATGTGACCAATCTAACTTACTATTGATATGTACTCCAAGATCTTTTTCAATGTCTGTGTATTCGATAGCCGTTTCATTCATTGAGTACACAAAATTAACACTACGATTCATAGAATATGCTCGGGTAATAGAAAGAACGTGACTTTTTGAAGGGTGAAACACCATCTTATTATGATGAGCCCAATTTTGAAGACTGTTAATATCCCGCTGGAGCAGCCAATGGTCATCCTGGGACGTGATTCTACGCCATATTTTTGTATCATCAGCATACATGGTTATATTTGTTTCCGGTGACAAATCCTCTGTAATGTCATTAAGAAAAAGTATAAATAAAGTAGGCCCTAAAATTGAGCCCTGGGGGACACCTGATCTAACCTGACAGGGAGCAGACATTTTATTTCCAATGACAACCCTTTGGTATCTGTTTTCAAGGTAGCACTTGAAGAATCTCAGTAGAGATGCATCAATGTTATATTGTTCTTTGAGCTTCAACAGAATTATGTCGTGGTTGACAGAATCAAAAGCTTTTTGGAAATCAAAGTATATTATGTCAGTGCGAACATTGTCATTGAGAGATAGGGCTAAGCTGTCACAGAAATTTACTAGCTGAGTTGTACATGATTTCCTACTCATAAAACCATGTTGACGTTGATCAATAAGATGTTCACATCGATTGAGCAATTCATCCCGGATTACTTTTTCGTAAACTTTCATAATAATGCTTGTCAGAGAAATTGGCCTATAGTTGTTAACTTCAATTTTAGAGCCTTTTTTATGAACTGGAACAACGTTTGCCATTTTCCAATCTGCTGGAATACATCCAGTTTTATAAGAAGCTTCAAAAAGGATAGCAAGAGGCTTAGACAGGCTCACTGAACAGTACTTTAAAATTCTTCCATGGATATTGTCGGCCCCTTGCGCTTTACTTGGATCAATATTTTCAAGTAAACCTTTGATTTTACAAGTGTCGAAATTGACCTGAAAATCACGGTCACTGGAAAAGTCGATATCTATATCATAATCACTACCCTCTGTAAACTGTTCGTTAAAATATTTATTGAATAACTCACACTGTCCTTGCGGATCGGACCGTAGGTAACCATTGTAGCTGACTGTTTCAGGAATGCGATTAGAGTTTGATTTAGATTTCACAAAAGACCAGAACTTTTTGTTAATGAGATTTCTGTTATCATCATCTTCAAAGTTTGCGTCCAATTTTGCATCAACGAGATTTTTAAAATCCCTCCTAGCTTTGGAAAATTTTAAATATTTTTTTGGATTAGAAGACTGTTTCCATTCGTCATGTAGTCGCTCCTTTTTTCTACATAAATCAAAGACATCTGAGTCAAACCATGGGGGTTGAAATTCATCGGAGACAGATATCTTAGGAATATGTGAATTACAATGAGAAGTGAAAATAGTATTGAAAACTGACCAGGCCTCTTCGACTGGTTTACCACTAAGTAGATGTTCCCAGTTTTCAGAATTCAGTGCATTATTTAAATTGGTCCAATTGGCCCTTTTGAAGCTATAGATTTTTCGTTTGGTAGACTTTTTCTTTCTAGCGTTAAGTTTTATGTCAAATCTTATCGCATAGTGATCCGACCCACAAATACCATGTTTACTGTCAACAATTAATTCTGATATAATTTCTGGCTTATCCGTCAAAACTACATCTAGAACATTTCCCCTGTAATGTGTAGAATCTGTTACCAGCTGCTGTAAAGATAAATCATTAAACGTATCAATGAATGCTTGTTCAATAGGAACAGAGGAGGAGCCCTCATCCCATCTGACCTGGGGCATATTCAAATCACCAACCAAGGTAATGCTCTGTACTCTTCTACGCCTACGGATGTTATGTAGGTATTGCTTGACTCTATCATGGTTATCATTGCCAAGTGTGCCAACTCTGTAGAACGAGCTTAATATGGATTTTCTTCCTAACTTGTCAGAAAGCTCAATACTCAAAATCTCGGCTCTACATTTGACAGGAATGATTTTAGATTCTATGTCAAGACAATGTTTTATGGCAATAAGGACACCACCCCCATTTACTCTGAATTTCCGACTATTCTGGGGGTCCGGGGGATGAGTAAAGCTAGAACGGTCAAGTCTAAATACTTTGTAATCAGCTGTCGAGATGATTTCACTATCATGGATATTGTCCTTTAACCATGTTTCATTATAAACTACAATATCTGGTTTATTGATATAAATAAAATGGTTTAGTTCGTGAATTTTTGTAGAGTGGAGAGTGGGATTTGCATCTCCAAGTTCACCAAAAGGGATCAAGCCCTGAACGTTACAATAAAAAACTGAGCAGTTTCCCGGGGGTCCTGGATTTTTCATGCTAGGGTTACAAATAAAGATAAGGAGAAAGTTTATGAGTAGTATCCAAAGGTAAAGTGATGCAGTTATATTTTGTAGATATGGGATTAAGCCTCGTTTGGAATTGTATTTAACAAACAACGTATGTAGTGTTTTACCTCTAATAGATAAGCTACTCATTGTACGTCTAATTGCAATACCAAAGATAACAAGGTAGAAATTGCAAAGTAAATTACCAAGACTGTTAATATTTAGTAGGAGTGGAGATTTAATAAGCTGTATCAGTTTAGCAGGGTTTGTAGGTGGGTTTTCCAAAATACAGGTGGTAAAACAGAGTAACATAACAAGGACGAAATAATAGTACATAAAAGCAAGACATATGTGATGTGGTTTGCATGAGTTTTGAACGGGTGTGGAGTGTATTACTGAATTCTTTGTTCTCTTCTTGTTTGAGTGGCTATTATTAAAGTAGCCAATACGTTTTCTATATGTTTCTAACTCAATCATGTGAAATCTAACAATAAAACGACCGACTGTGGAGCAATAATTCCCTTTACGGTGTGTAATTTGTACTTGTATTATTGTCCGTGTCCAGTTTGTTTGCGTGATCGACGCCCGTCCGTGATTAGTTATACTATCATAATCAGTTATGTGATATAATCACGTAACTGTAGAATTCATTTTCATCTATTTAAATTGAGAAAATAAGCAATATTCTGAGAAACGGAGATAACTCGTCTTAGATTAGATAAGATGTGATCAGCCAATCAGCTCATTCGAAGAGTGATGGACATAGATGCTGGACTAATATTGAGGCTCATGATGAATTAAAATTATACGTGATATTATTTAGGTATAACTTAGGCTGAAATTTGTTCGAATTTAGTTTACAGGTTATTATGGTGGATTTATAAGGTGACCATTTCCGCAGTTTGTTCTGTCAGCTACATGCTTGTTTAGTCGGTCTTGTTCTGTTCTTGAGTGAAATTGTTAAGTAGTGCAGCAATTCTATCATAAAGATTAATCACTTAACACGAAAAGAAAACTGACATAATAAATTTCTATACTGGCGCCGCAGGGGCAGATATCCTCTCTTTAGTCCTAGAGAAAGTAGAATGCAGTGAACCCAACACTCAGATAGCACGGATTGACCAGACAAATTAAAGTGAAGGCCATCTCGTGCCAGGTGTGAGGTGCCAAATTTCAAGTTATCAAACAGTTTGAAGTTAGAAGTATGAACTGAAAGTTCGAACAATGTCATGTTCAGCTGGTCAATAGATTTGTTCATGTTGTTGAATCTGTCGGCGCTCATGTTGAGAGGTGAAATTGAATCAAAAATGAACTTAGTGTTTTTATATTGATTCACTGAGCGTTCAACAAAGTTGTGTAGAGTCGAGGGGTGAACGCGGTGTTTTCTGAGGTCGTTGATGCCCACAGAGAGGAGAACAACATCAGCCTGCTCAATGGATCTGCAGTGCTGGTGTAGATCCCGCAGATGAAAGAGATCCTCTCTGAAGGCAACAACTGGCTCATGCAATGTGGAACAATCAAACGACTTATTCTTCGAATCTGAAAGAATCAACACCCTTTTAGGCCGAGCATGACTAGAATTACCCCTCTGGTATGGTGCTGATGCATGGCGGAGGACCCTGCAGGTAATGCTAATTCTAGTGCCAGAGAAATCTTGTTCCTTGACCCGGGGTACACTGTGGTCAAACACATCCTGGCTAGCCCGAGTCATCGTGTACATTGACCCATGTTCTGGGGTCAGGGAGAACCGCTTATAGCTACCAGGTGGTTTTATTCTGAACACTACGGGGCGAGGGGCACCCAGCGTGATGGTTAGAATGGTGCTTTCTGGGTCTATTGATGGCTCGTTATCACTGTGTGGCGGGATGTGTGAGATATGGTTATCATATTTGGTCACGAGGAAACTGTTGAACGGTTTGGCCTGGTCAGGGAATAGGGAGTTCAAATGATCAACAATATTCGCCAGATAAGTGTTGGTGCTGATTTCACGTGCCACATGGCGGCCTCCAGCATACTCATAAGGCATGTTCCCATAGTGGGCAACTTTCCTATTTCCAAAATTGCGGTCATATGTTGTGTTGTTGTCCAAATGCGCAGCTTGAAACTGTTTAAATAAATTTTCTGCATAAAGTGTATAAGGCATGATACCTTCAGGCTCCAGGTTACTAGTACTGCGAGTTGTTGAGGATGGTGTAGGTAGGATGGCAGGAGTCGGCAGGAGGGGGACGTCACGGGCTGCAGGAGCTGCTGGCTGTTGTAGGTCTTTAACGAGCGTCTGGGCACGGACTACGTTCTCCTTCAGCTGCTCCAGTTGTTTGTTTGCTTCCGACACGTGCCTCGCAAAATTAGAGGTTAATTTGTTGAGATCGTGTGTTAAGTCGGTACTGTCTTCTATGACTACTTGTTTAAAATGTTCAGTAAGCGAGTTACTTTTACGTATTTTGCCTCGAGCTTTGATGAACTTCTCATTACAAGTTCTTTCGAGTTCAAGTGTCATTTGATCTTCCGAGAGCTGATCAACAAGGTCAAGGCAGAGTTGTGGACTAAATGACTTCATGGTAGTTTGAGTGCCCCTATCTACCGTACCTGTGTAAAGGGGGTCTGCCAGGTAGCCCTTAGAGTCTGCGGTAGCGGTGGGCGTGCCGCTACCTGGCAGCCCGAGAGTCCGTTGAGAAGAAGTTGGAGTGTTTGTAGTGGTATCCATGGTCAGTCAGCAAGGAATAATTCGCGTCGCACAGTCGGTCTTCTTATCAGTTTTAATCCATTAGCGAATTTAAACAAACGTATTAAAAATTTGCAAAATGAGTTTAGGAAACGAGCAAAAGTTTTAAAAATCGTTTATCAATAAATGAAACCCTCTGAGTTTTTTAATATCCATAGCTGAAAATGTCATTCATCTTTAGGACAGGAGTACCTTGTCATGCTCTAGGTTTTACAAATTCCTTTGTTTGAATTCTAGACTCGGTACACAAATCCCTTATTCGGTCAAGGGTCGAAAAGTCTTCTCTAGAACACAACCAATTTGATTTACCAAGATAACCGATATGATTGCCAAATTAAATTATCCAAGACATGAAGGCAGAAGGAGACCAACAATTGGGATTAGATAGATTTATAGAACCCAAACTCTCCTCACTACAAATACGTATTTACAATCAGACATTGTGGAATTCTTCCTAAAGATCCTGTAATGAATCACCTTCTCCTTCTGCTAAAGCATCCAAATCGCCAACACTTTCCGGTTTCAGCTTGGCAAGGTAGCCCCTGTCTCTCCTCCAGGCTGCTGAGTCGAAGTACACACTACCGTTACTAGCGTACGCATAACCGTTGTCTATTATCTGAGAAAAATGAAATGATGGTTTTCATTAATTAATTTACAAGTTATGTAATGATTTTCAAAGTTTAATTTAACTCGCCGTACTCAGTAGTTTGATTGACGTGGGTACAATTAACGAAGTAAGCTGTTAAGTATATGCGCGCAAAAACTGCTATTGCTAGTTTTGGGTGTTAAAAAAAGTTGTTTCGATAATTATGAACGGTTCGGCTATCGCGCGTGCCGAAAAATTTAACAAAGAACAGAAAATATGATTTCGCGCGAACGTCTTCCCTTATCCCGGACTCTGTACCATAGATAACTGATAAGTGTGGTCTGGAAGGACAAAATGAACTATGAAGCAGTTTATAGTCGATCATACACATCATCAAGGTGACCAAAACGTTTTAATTTCTTCAAAACTAGCCTTAACCAGGTCCAAGGAGTTGATGATTAATTTATCCAGCACAATTCATTACTTCCAATTCCATTCAACAAAAAGACACTGAGACAGATTAAGATACTGCATTGTCACGATTGTCAAATTAAGAGTAACTAGCAGTGATAAGTGACATTTAGTTTAAAGAGAGTGGTACCAGACTGTCACGTGACACCACGTGACAGTCACGTGACGGTCACGTGGGTATTAATTAAACACATGGTGGCAATGTTACACAAGGAAATATCTTTTAAGAAAGTAGGCTTTACTTCAGCAGTTGCGGGCAGCATATTCTGTGTGTTTGCAAGATGTATGTATTGCAGTAGAAAGCGTACTATTGGAAATTAAATGTAATGCTGAGCACAAGTACACGCAGTCGAATTGTTAAATTTGGCAAAACTGTTGGAAAATGATGAAGTTCAGCGTACCTTCTGAACGTAGTCCACAATTTCAGGCACATAATCAGTTACTCTAGTCAAGACATCAGTAGGTAGCACATTCAGCTCCTTCAGATCCTTGTGGAACTCTGTCTCCCAATGCTGGGTCAGAGCAGCGAATATACTGTGGTCTGTCACATCCGCTCCCAACCTGGACAAGATTTAGTGTCACTGTGATAATCACGTGTTAGTCACGTGGGTACTAATGTGTGTTTCTATGTGATAGTCACGTGGGTATTAATTTAATTCCATGATATGTTATCTAATATCTGCAATATTACTTTAAAATTAAAGGTGGAAGTGGTTAGGGTTTAAACAAGATTTTTCAACTGATTGAATCTATGCTTTATTGCATGGATGTAAAAACGTGAAGCTCCAATGGCTATTTCAGATTCACCTATAAAACGCAATAATTCTAACTGACCTGGTATCTAGCCAAGTCTCCATAGCCATACTGGCTAGAGTCAGCAGCTCCCCAACGTCAGCATCAGGCTTAGCAAGAACCGGAGATAACTTATCCATTACCTTCTGCATCATCTTTAACTTTGGGTCCTCTGGTGTCAATCCGGACATCTTGACTTTGAAGTCTTCTACTGATTCTTTAATCTCAGATAGAACTTCGTTCTGAAAAGTAAATCGATTGATCATATACATATAACATATTACATATTGATATATACTTATATATACTGGGAGAATAAGGGAGAGATATAAGCTGGCGAGTGTAGGGTCAGAACAAAAACAGATAAACACTCAACACATTATTCAATTAACTCAATTAACTCAACTAACCTTGTCACGGGCACCCATCTCACTACGATACCGATCTAACAAGAACTTAGTTCTGGCTCTGTAGATTATCTTATCGTCTATATCAGTGATGTTCATAACGTAAAGGATGTTGAAACCGAAGTAGTCGCTCATTATCCGTCGTAGGATGTCGAATGTTATGTAGGATCTGAGAATGTTATGTAGGATCTGAGAATGTTATGTAGGATCTGAGAATATTGAGTAGGATCTGAGAATGTTATGTAGGATCTGAGAATATTGTGTAGGATCTGAGAATATTATGTAGGATCTGAGAATGTTATGTAGGAACTGAGAATATTGTGTAGGATCTGAGAATGTTATGTAGGATCTGAGAATGTTATGTAGGATCTGATAATATTGTGTAGGATCTGAGAATGTTATGTAGGCTCTGAGAATATTGTGTAGGATCTGAGAATGTTATGTAGAAGTTACGGGTGCTACAGAATAACTTACATAAATTTAAATATTCGCACAAATCAAAGTTGCGTAATAACTGTATTTGTGTAACATAAATAAAATGACCAACTTGGTAAATCCTAAGTCTTTCTTTGTAAAGTACCAACCTAGCGTGCCCCATGTGACTAGCATCGTAGACTGTAGGACCACAGTTGTACCACGTAACATTCTTCCCATTAGAGGGTATAAAATCATCCTTGCGACGAGTCAAACTGTTCCATATCTTCAACTGAGCCGTCTTTTGCTCAGGACAGTTCCTTAAAAAGTAATGCGGATAAAAGTGATGAGGCGATGACCGAAGACGATAATTCTCGGAATTTAAATCAATAGTCACGTGACATGCCGTGAGCTCCCAGGTCAAGATTCATGCGAGATGGCGAGCTAGGCTCATCGCACAAAATTTGTAAATAAACACAGAACAAAATTAACAAGAAAATAAATAAGAAAACAGAAAAAGTTGAATTTAAAAGTTGAGGGACACAATAAATATAATTAGGAACTTAACATGACGTGCGATCATGTGTATTTTATCACTTGTTTATCATGTGTTTATATTGTGAAAACTTCAACGTAACGGCGCACAAGTTTTGTGCGAGATTTTTGCCAGTTTCGTTTAAATCTCATCGCTAGGCTCACGATATCGCGAGCCTAGACTCGAGATTTAGGCATGCTTTTCAGCACTGTAAAATTAGCAGAAACGCGCGAATATAAAGGTATAAATATTACTTTGCATGTGACCTCGTGGCGAGGTTGGCCAATTGCCTGCTGTGAAGCCACCTGTTGGGTGTTCGAACCCCACCTAAACTACTTGAGCGTCAGTATTTTTTGACAATTATGAAGAACTAATAATTCCTCGGAGCTCGGTAATATAATCAGCAAAGCAAAATACAGTAAGGTATAGGATTAAGGACGACATATTTTCCGGCCGTTTTAAAAGAAATATACTCCTTACATACTGGACACCTAGTCACTTTTAAACTTTATGCCACGGGAATTTTATTGGTCATCGATCTTTTGGTCTTGATTGTTTTCAATTATTGCATCTAACAAGCCAGCGAGACCGATTGAATGTTAACAAAGCCAGCTCTAGGTCCCTATGGGCACGAAAATGCAAATTTGTTGAAATCAAAAGAGGCCCATTTTTTTATGACCATCGACCTTTATATAGAAGAAATATGATGGTTGGAGGCCCAAAAAATCGATTTTCGGCATTTCCCCTCCTATCCTGTTTTCGAAAGGCGGGAGGGTCATTTTTGACTGTTTTAACCGAAAAATGGCCTAATTTGTATCATTATAATCTATAAAACCCTAATGAATGTTGATCATAAAAAATGGGCCTTTTCTGATTTCATGACATGACCCAAAAATATTATCATTCTTGCCCACCCCTAACCATGACTATAATGACCTGCTAACTTTTAATACCCAGGATATGCTCATGCAATCATTTTATACAAAATAAGTACTTTTCGCCACTGCACGTGACAATCGCACTTTCAAATGGCCAAAATCCAGTCTCATCGCACTTTCTCAGTAATCTTGATATGGGGTGAGTTGTCATCAACCTAAACACATGTGACACGTGACAGACGAACTATCGTCGATATTATCTTACACTTGTTTTATTAAGACCCTCATGCTTAAGTGTCAAGTCCACAGTATTTTTAAGTCTGGGGCGACAATGGTAATCATAGGGCAACGTAAGAGAAAAATAAAATATAATAATGGTGCAGGATAAAATAATTCCTTGTGTTTGACATTTGACAACGAATCTCTTACCAGGTTGGCTGGCCTTTGGACACGGCGTCACTGCTAGCAGCACTGTTACCACACTGTACGGTCATGTGGTAGAACCAGCGAGCTAGGTGAGGGTACGCTTGAGAACAGGGACTTGTAGTTAGGCGAGAGAAGAGAACTCTGAAACAGTTAATTAATTAGCTGTTCAACAGTTAATTATTAACAGTTAATTGACGGTTAATAATCAACAAAATTTATAAGTATATCTTACCTTTTACTACCTCCGTATCATATTCGTTAACATAAAGAATAACCTTTAAAGTTTAACACTCTGGGATTATGTCAAGAGATGTCTTGCCAAAGAATCGAAATATATTCACCCAAAAATAAATAAATGGAATAATTAAAAATTTAATCCCACCTGTCCTCATCAGATTTTGTGTTGCCCAAATAACTGAAATTACCAAAATGTTTGTTCAGAACAACCAGGCTTTCAGCAGTGTTGGGATCCTCTGGTATTTGCATAATCTTGGTTTGGAATGTTCTGGTATTTGGAGTGAACAGAGAGAAGGTTCTAGTCTGGTTAGCAAGACTTTTCTTTTGATGTTGGATGAAGGTTAGACGAGTAGTTGATCTGATAAGCTGCACAACACTACATCTCATGTAACCGCTACTAGGTGTTAATTGTTATGTTTTTTAGTAAGGGGGGGGGGGGGGGGGGGGGGGTAGTAAATCACATGTTTGATTTTATTTATGTTTTTCAATGAACAAGTATGTGATGTTGTAATGGATATAACAATTATACGGATGTTAAAGCCTCGTAAAATTGTCTAAATTTACGAAAACAAGCCAATAGCATGATCCAAGATCGTAATTTCGATGAATAAGACTATCATAAATAATACTCTTAAACAATAAATAACTAAGAACGTAGGAAAGTTATACAAATTCAATAAGCTTCAAATAAAATCTGAATTATAAGTCAGTTAAAATGTTCTGTATTTCGTCCAGTTAAGTCTGATGTTCATGGTCATATCAATCTTATACTCAACATGGATCACTGTATCCGGTATCTGGGGAATCTTGATAAACGTCTCATGGGAAGCCACATCATCATCGAAGTAACAATCGAAGATATTGTCACAACTTAATGAAAACTTCAATCATCTGCTGCATCTTCATCCTCCTCATCATCCTGGTCACTGTCACTATCGTCATCATCCTTCTGCTTCTTCCACGCTTTCGCCATCTGGAGGAACTTCAAGTTGGAAGAGTTAGCCTCAGTATCAGGGAAGATATAATCCCAATATTCCTCCCAACCACCCTCTCCACCTTCCTCCACATCGATCTTCCTTCGTTTCTTCACTCTTCTCGGCATCTTCTTCTTTATTTCATCCTGTGTTTTCTCAGTGCCGTGTGTTGTCTCGAACTCTCTCCAAGCTTCCAAACAAAGTACCCTCTCCTCTTTCTGCGTGTCTGATTGTAAGGATCCGTCCGCTTCTTCGTAAATCTCACGAGCTTTCTTCGTATGCTCGATACTCGCCTCATAGTTAGCAAAAGAGATCCAAACTTTGACGTGTTTGGTTCTTTGAAGGAGAGCCTTGTACAAAGCTCTCACCCGGTCATGCTCCTCTTCCTCAACTTCAAAATCAATGTAAGCTTTCCAAAGAATCTCCGGCATGTCTAGAAGAGGCTGCTGAATAGCGAGGTTAAATATAGCCCTTGCTCGATCAGTGTCCCCTAATATGGTCTCAAGTTCAGCAAATTTCATCCACGTGTTACAATTTGACATGTCGTGTTCGAGAAACTTCTCGTAGATTTTCCGACATCGGTCGAATTCTCGCATTTGTAGTTCCAGGTCGATGTAACCCTTGAAGAGTTTTGGTTTGGGACACTTTCCGATGGATGTGCCCAAAATTTTTCTGGCACCATCCAAGTTCTTCTGTCGGATCTCAAACTGTGCGAACATGAGCCATATTTTACCGAATGTGAACTTTTTGTGTGGCACAACCTCAAGGCAAGCTTTGTAAACCTCCCTCGTTTTATCCACGTCCTCTGCTTCAAGTTCTTCGAACAGTGCATAGTTTATCCACAGGTAAATATACCTTCTCCAACCTTTCTTTGAAGCAACAAGAGGAATGTTAGCAATAGCACGCTCGTAAGTATCTCTCACATCATCCAAACTACCATCAGCCTCCAGTAATCGTAGTAAGTCAAACCAAGCATCATAATTTAGAGGATTCTGTTTAATCTCAGTTTCGTACTTAAACCTTCGTTTGTTTATGATGACATCCTCGATTCCTCGGCGATCACCAAACTTTTTCTCGAATATCGAGTACGATTTGAAGAGATCAGGACATTGTTCTTTGGTTAGTTTCTCAAGTGCGTATTTGTAGATAGCACGTGCGCGTTCTGATTCTTTTTGTCCCTCTTCAAACCTATATAGTATATAAGATAATGTTTGAACACAATATTTATCTTATTAAATGTTTTCTAAAAGCTTCAACTCCTTAAATTCATAAATCATACGTCCAATAATTTCTATAATATGTCCAAAAACTGACAGATTATATTTGAATTGTCACTAAGATTTATGTACTGGTATTTACTGACAACTCACTTAGCAAATCCAATGAAAAGTCCCTCCTCCATGTATTCCTCCCCGAAGAAGTCGACTGCTCGCTCGTACACCTCACGCGCTCCCGCTACGTTACCATGTTTCTCTTCAAACTTTGCAAACTTTATCCAGTTCTTAACCTGGGTTTCATTTACGTGGACTACTTGTAAAATAATGAGAATCTTACAGTAGCAAGAAAAGTAGATGTATTTATAATTTTGATGAACGCCGCAACATTTATTGGATAAGAACATGCATTTTATCACATATTATTATATTTCGATCTTCGTTTAATTATCATTGCGATTTTCTAATGTTTACCGTGGGGTGTACCAAGACAAACTTGGTGTAAATGTCTCTGGCTCTGTCAATTTCCTTGTATCTCAGTTCCATGTTAATGTAACTGCTCCAAGCTTGCTCTTCTGGTTCCCATTCCATCCATCTCTCAAATACCTGAAAGAAGATTTATTTAACTAACCGACTAATTGATAACATCGAGATTTCTTCCCTTCCTCAGATCCTAAATTATTGGGAGTTTATTATAAATCACGTCATAATATCACGTGATTTATGGTTGCTTTAGTAGCATAATATCACCAAGTTACCTGTCTGGCTCCGGCTATGTTCTCCAGCATCTCCTCCATGTAAGTATACTTGTACCAGAACTGGGAAACACGAGGCATCAGCGTCACTGCTCGGTCCCATATATTCCTTGCGTGGTTTACCTGTGAGGTGTGTATAGTTAGGAGCTTTAAAAATGTTATCATGTCACGTACAAAGAATATCTGGACGAAAAGAATCTATCATAATCATTTCATTTATATTCAAAATGAGACAATTCATCGTTATAATATTATACAGTTATGCCCGATATATTTCTCTATTCGTACTTATAGCAGCAATAACGATTTGTCAATATTGTTTGTGGATCAATAGCTTTCATGTCACAATTATCAAGGTTTTAAAGTAACATCTTACCTGCTTGTGTTTCATCTCCATCTCGGTGTATTTGAGCCACATGGGAACACAGCGGTGATCTACATCCAAGGCTCGTTCGTACACTGACCTGAATACATTGTCGTTTATAAACCGATTAGTAGATAATTGATTAAGGGCCTCTTAGCGATAGAAGGATAACCAAGTCGGCAATTTTAGCTGTTAGTAAGAAACACAAATGAAACAGACTATCCACATAGTGTGAGTATTCTTTTATGATTGGTTAGTTTGTGTCACGTGGTGTGCTTACTGTGCTGTGATTGGTTATCCTACCTGGCACGTTGGTATTCCTGAGTCTCCTCCTCCCACCTTGCGTATTTTATCCAGTTCACCATTACAGCCCTGCGAGAAACCACTGTAATCCCCACCAGTAATCCAAGTTGTACTTCATTTACAAGTATCAGTTTGTGTTTAAAAAATAAACTAACTGTAAAATAAAATTTTAAAATTTAAACTTAGAGCTTGATCAAAATATTTTAAAGCACAATTTTAATCATGTAATTTCAGCGCCAAACCATAAACTAAAACAATCTGGTATCTAATATCTAATATCTAGATACAGACCTATTCTTCCTGATATTATCCTCGAACTGTTTTCTCTTCCTCATCCTGTACTCAGCCAGTTCGGTTGGATCTGTTATCTTCTGTCGGGGAGGCGGTGGTACAATTTCCAGCTGTCGCTCCTTGGCTTCTCTTAGAAGCTGCTCCGCTGTAATTAATTAATTAGTTAATCACTTTAGGTCGATTGATTGAAGGGCGCAAAAAGTGACTTAATCCTCTAACAATCAGGCTACTGGCTGAACTTTTACTTAAAATATCTAAAGTGAAAGAGAAAATGAAAGTGAATGTGAAAGTGAAAGTGAAAGTACCTGTGATCTGGATGGGGGCTGGGAGCTTGTTCTTGACCTTGCCCACATGTTTGCCTCCCCCACCAGTCCCGGTGGGACCCGACTTAACGTGAGGTGCTTCTGACATAGTCCGCTACAATTATACAGAGATGGTAAATACATTGTATTTAGGTTATATTTAGGTTATATAATATATAAAAGTCAATTTACATGCAGTAAGTAAATTGAGTCCCAATTTTATTTGAAAACATTTGAAGCATTAATGTAGATACAATTATCAGCTGCATTTCCTAGTTTGTTCTAACTTTCTACGCTTTTTTTCATCGATTACTAAATAAGAAAAAAAAACACGATAGCTATAAAATAAAATGGTAACTTTGTAAATATAATAATACCATCTGTCTGCTAAGCAATTTATAAAAGACTGCAACTGTCAAGTGTCATATTTTCTTTCGATGAACAATATTGTTAAAGATACATTTCCCGCGATAAAGTTAAACTTATTTCATTCGCTTAAAACTCGAGTTAAAAACATTTTTATAAGAATTTTGAATTTGGTTTTGACAACTTTTGCAACTTAAACCATCACTTGCACTTCAGAAAATACTCGTACAAATGCAGTATTTAGCAGAGCTCGACGCTCGTTTAAAAATGTAAACGCCACTAATCTTTAAAAAACATGAAACAACTGCAAAGATTATAGTATTAAAAATCAAAACTTTACTGATACATTGATCCAGAAGAGACCTATAATTAGCCCTTTCAATCTGCACCTCTTTGAGTTTGAGGTTCCGGTAAATGCAGCAAAAATCCTTTCAATTTAAATGGATTAATTGGAGTCCTGCCGGAGGTTTTAGTTCCGGTAAAATCAAAGTACCGCTGTAGGAGAAACTGTTTGTGAGGTAGCAGGTTCCGTTTTGACATGTCGTCAAATAAGTCTTGTAAAAGATAGACGACTATCTTGCTTTCAATCTCTGAAAATAAAGTTATTTATTCAGTAATTTTTTATTTATTAATAAAATTTGATAAATTCACGGGCTGGTATTTTGCTGAATCGTCGAAGAAAAAATATAAATTTTAAACCCCTCAATTTAATTGTGTATGCAGTATTTCAGAATTGAAAAATAATGCTGTTTCCAAACCGTTCAATTTAACCGGAATATCTTTCGAGTTCTTCTCATTAGCCAGCAATGCACCAATATACCGATACACTGCTCCTAGGTCGGGTACTGCATCAGCTTCTGAGGTGTCACCGCTGGAGGACATTGGTTGTGAAGTGTGCTCACCACAGGAACTGAACACGTCACCCAGCACACTGTTCACTGCCTGGTCTCCTGGCACCTCCGGTACCTGGTGGGGTGTTTATAAGTTTATAGTGTGTTTATAAGTTTATAGTGTGTTTGTTTGATGTTTATAGTATGTTAAACTGGAGGTGGCATTGTGTTGGGAGGTGGTTATACTAGATAATAGATATATGTGTTAAGATTTAATTATACAATTCGTTTGTAGTGACTACAGGAGCCCTGTTACTTTAGAATTAGAATCGTAGCATCAGCTCGAAAAACAGAGCTACGGTACTCTGTTTTTAACAAAAGTAAAAACGACTAGGATGAACTAAATTTAAGTCACCTTTGACCAGGACTGAAGATTTTTAGCTACAAAACTCTGATGGGGTGAGAAGTGAGAGGAAGTAGTCTGACTAGTCTGTTGGTTTACGCTGTCTGATTTGCTTATTGAGTCCACCATCGGTACGGGTGGGGCTGGGGCAAGCTTTGGTCTCTGTGGAGAGGTATTTATTTCAGGGGGATTTAGTATTTATATTTCAAGCATTCTTTCTAAAGCTAGAAGAGGATTAGGAAAAGAGATCATTATCGGTTATTAGCTCAGATTATTCTAATTCAAGATAATTAAAAAACGCAACAAACCTTGTTAGATTTCAGCTCAGTGAACGTTTTTGGTGAAGGAGGTTTTTCTTTACCAGACGCTTTTTTAGCACCATTTTTTATCACCAATTTAGATTGAGTTTTTGGAACTGAAAAAATAAATCACATAAATAAGTTTGATGCATAAATACATTCGATATTAATTCTACTATCATAGCTCGCTTCTCCTTATTTTGGTGCCGAAGTTGAAACGTGCAGATTAACTTAAAAATTAATAGCAAAGTACGCTTGTTCTAACACGTGACGCTGACACGTGCCACTGACACATACCAGGGGTCTCTTTAGCCGAGGAAGTTCTGGATCGTCTTCTTTCAGAAAGGGGCACGTTCTCATTATTACAAACATTGTGTCTTTTCGTCGTCTTGATTTGGTTTATGTTGCTCACGAATTTGTCAAGTTGTTGTTTGTTGTATGTACCTGAGTTGTTTGCATGATTTACTACAATTTATCAGAATAGTTTTGTAAACAAGGCGAGATGTGGCTGCTCAAAACAGTGATAAGTATAAAGAAAGTAAAAGTAACGTAAAAGTAACGTAAAAGTAACGTAAAAGTAACGTAAAAGTAACGTAAAAGTAACGTAAAAGTAACGTAAAAGTAACGTAAAAGTAACGTAAAAGTAACGTAACAGTAACATTTATGACGTCACATCATCACAGATCTCTACAAAGTATTATCACACTAGAAACCTGAAATTTAATATATTTGAGCTTGATAAATGTAAGACTCACCATTCAAAGCGGGATCAGTTGTTTTATTAATTTTCATGACAAATATGTGAAGGAAATTCTTTATATCTCCTTGGGATCTTTTCAAACTTTGTGACATCTGAAACGAATGTGATAAAAATGTAAATTTAAATACGATATTGTACAGTTTATCAAGGACGACACGGACTCCACTGCAAGTTTTAAAATAATATCAGACTTTTTGATAAACATTGATATATCAGATTGTAGTTATAATAAATGAGATTCTGACCGATTTCCAATCATAAGATTGTGTCGCACTCTCTCGTAGCAATAACAACAGGCGTTTGAAGTCCTCTAGACTCCAATGTTTACCATCAGGAAGCTCCTCGCAGATGAAGCTTTGTAACGAGTACCGGCCAACTACCACATCCTTATCTGCTAGCTGGAAGAGAAGAAGTTACGTGGAGCTTGTAATATATGTATTTATAATTATCTAACAAAACTATTAAATACGTGTATGAGCTCGGATTGCAACATATATTATAATGCCGGGAAGGGGGTTCAGGACTGAGGAGTGGGGTGGCACTTTTATTCCTCCTTTCCATACAACTAAACTAATCCTACCTTTACATTCACAGCTTCAAAGGGAGAAGAGGTATCAAACCAGACGTTAAGATCAAACTGAACAGCAACCTCTGTCCTGAACTGATCACCACAAGTAGATAACTTGAAGTCTGCTCTAGTGTAGTGTTTTTCCACGTAAAGCTTGATGACTCCGTCTCGGTTTTTTGTTGGGAGACTCATTATTTTACCGACCATGCCGCATTTCGTAATTTTCTAAAATATATAGTTTAAGTTGGTGGTAACCAGTGATTAGTGATTACGTTATGGAACTTTATCAATACATTGAAACTTAAATAATGAAGTAATTCAACATGCATATAGATCATAATTGTTCATGGAATAATGAATTATAATTTCATAACGATCATTCATATGAGAGAAAATATCATCACCAATGCAACCCAAACCTGTGGACTAAACGTTGACGGAGGACTAGCTATCATAGGTAAATGCCTATCTTTGACATTCCGTGATTTTTTTCTCTGAGGGGGGCAATACACTTGGTTAGTATGTAGTTTAGGGAGGGCCATATTTGCTTGGATACGTGACAGATTTGCAAAAAAGTAACACTTAAGAAACAATAAATTATAAGACTTAAGGAAACCTGCATCCCATTCAATTTTGTGTTCTTTTCATTCTTCAGGTTGGTGTCAAGGGGAGCAAGTTTGACTCTCTTTGCTTCTGTTTTCTTGGTTTTGCAGTTTAACTCCAGATCAAAGAGGACAGTTTCCCCTCCTACCATTGGCTATAATGGGATATAACAAATTGAGTATTGGCTGTATTCTGTTCTGTACTGCAACACTGTTGATCCATTACATTTATTTTAACTCAAATTTTGAACATCCGATATGTTCGTTAATGTCAGAGTCTACCTTGTGTTGGTATATCATAGCGATCAGTGTGTTCTGTAAGTCTGTTTTGGTAGCCATTGTCATATTGATTATGTCAATAAATCTTATGTCTTGTGCAAGGTTGAATTTGTAAAGCCTATCTACAAATTGAAAAAGTAGCTAGCCCTGTGAAACTACCCTTACAATTTGATCATCAATCCATGAAAAAGAGGTGGATGGACATTGCATGGTTTATGTTAATTTTCTAAAAGCACATTAGTTGTTGTAGGTATAGTCAAGGGCTAGCTACTACCGGCATATTTACTGCCTAGTTACACTAACAATTTCCAAAGCAGTGAATGGAACTGTGATAAAATCGTCATTTATCTCGCAGGAAATAAGACCCAATGAGTCACCTTCTGGGACCTTTACGACTGTGCCCACGACATCGGATCCAACATTTAGATACTGCGGAGTAAGCTGTGGTGATATTTGTCTCTCTAACGGTTAAATCTGCTTATGCAAAAGTTCAGAGAAGTGGTACAATAGTTTGTTATGAGAAATTGAAAACAAGAGAAATTCTAACTACTTCTCCCAACCAAACTATTTCAAAATCCAGGTATGATCTATAAATACATTGCACCCCATGGCAGGGTTAAGCAACTTAAAAGCAAACTTTTGTTGATTTTCAACACTACTTTGTAACAAATAAAATGAGTGACAGGATGGATTACTGAGGGTGTATAAGATGATATGTATGGACCCCAATTTCCATAGCCTATTTGAGTTCTCATAGTGTTCCTGATATTTTTCCCTAGTACAATAACTGCAGTGTTTTTATAGGCTGTTAGTAATCCAGAACTTGCTACCAAAATTAAAGATTATTTCAGTGGGCACATTAGCCCTGCTAATGGCTTTGAAGTATGTTCATGTGATTGTGATTTAGCCCAGTCATAGTATATTTGTTGCGGTCATAAGTTCAGTCCCAAGCGAGGTGCAATGCTTGCTTTTAGTCAAGCGGGGTGCAATGCTTGCTTTAGTCAAGCGGGGTGCAATGCTTGCTTTAGTCAAGCGAGGTGCAATGCTTGCTTTAGTCAAGCGAGGTGCAATGCTTGCTTTTGTCATAAAGCAGACAAACAACAGGTTTTTAATGTTTCACTCCTTGATGCAAGGAAAGTAAGAATCTTTACGATTTCATTGAATGTGAGATTCTTTCTTGCACAATTCTGTAACATCCTATTACAGAGTTCTTCAATGGGATGCCATTGAAATGGGTTTTCGCTATATTTCCAGAGTCCTTTATGTGGATTTGTTTCACTAGATTTCCACAGTCTTTGGGTCGTAATTCTTGTTTTTTGCTTTGCAATCCAATATCCAGCTATTACGAAAACTTTCGCTCCAATAAATTTCTTACACTCCTTTACCTGTATGTCCTCCTCCATGTTTTTGGTTTGCTCTGGATGTGTAACACCTAGAACATTTAGCGATAAATGTTTTCACCTATATACAACAATAAAGCCATTCTTAGCAAACACTTGAGAAACAGGTAAGCCTAACATTAACAAAACAAGACAGTTCAGAGCTTCTAATTCTCAAGGTGGTGATCTACACCATGTAATCAATAACATGATTATAAACTTACCACTTGCACTCTCAGTCGAGTTTCTTTGTTGCTGATTAAATTTTTTAATGGACTCTGCGATTACTTCGTTCTGCTCCTCCTGAAAAAGACAAATATAAAAGACAAATATAAATCATACAGCATAAAAATCATAACATAAATTATAACATAAATTATCCATGATGAATTAAATAGAAGTGATACAATAGTTAGTTGGTAAAAGATCATACCTATTATTATATGGTTTTAATAAGAACAAATCTAAAAAACAATAACTGAGTTTTGGTGCACCTACTTTTAACGAATGATATTGAATTTGTTCGTCAATAGTCATCTCTGAGACGCTTTTATTGTGAAGGACTTTAATTTCATCAGCCAGGGTGAGAATAATACCACCAGGGTTAGGGGCACTGGTATCAAAGGGCCCACAACCAGTAACTTTAGCAACAACAAATTCACCAGCAGCATGAACAACATTAAATGTTACTGCCACAGTTGACCCGTTATCCTGATAAGGTAACCCATAAGTCTCCGACCCAATCACCAAGGGAAAAATTCTAGCTGGTGCTTTTATATACTCAGGTAATCTTAAAATGGCAGTTCCGGTAGGACACTGCAATGAGGGGTCTTGTTCAGATGGTTGAAAATTGCAGTGACTTTCCCTGGATACCTCTGTAGAATCTGGTATGAAGTCTGAGTCATCAGATAAAAGTTTTAGCAATGACTCAGGGTGATACAAAATGTCTGTATCTGAATTTGGATGTATTTGTGATGAGGCAGGGGAAATAGTTTGAGGAAATGAGCTGTTGGAGGGAGAAATTGTTCTAGACTGACATGGATATGAATTGTTGGGAAAATGATTCACATGAGTTCCAAAATTAGTTCCAACATTGTTTCCTGTATTAGGATGATCTGCAACATCATATCCATTAGAATAATCTATTTGAGCAGTGGAACAGCTTGGGGTGGATAATGCACTTAAACTTGGAGCGCTGGTATTCTCATAATTGAAAGTGTGTTGAGAATGTCTTTTGAACACAGTGGCACTGGAATCTTCTCCTGGAGTGGAAGAAGGCAGAGAGACAGGCTCCGAATATTGTTGGGAAGGTGCTGCTGTCAGAACTGTAGAAGAACACGAATATTTCTTTTCCTTTTTGATTTCATCAGACAGTTTTTTAAGTTCTTCACTGATGAGAGTAGATGATCTGGGCATTGAAAAGCCTTTTAATGCCTGGGCAAGACCTCCAATGAGGGAATGAACATTTTTGGGTCCTTCCATGTGAGCAGACTTTGCCATCAAACACAATCATAATCACAACATCCTAATAAGTGAGGTTATTAATGCCTCTAGTTAATTCAGATTTATTGCCAGACTGTTTACAAATATTTAATAGAATTAGAGAAATTTCACCATCTGGTGTGTAAACGAAATCTAGTAAAACCTTCAAAACTGTTTCTACTCTTCCCTGTCCTCAACAATTTGTCTCCTAGGTTAATAGTGTACTGTTTACAATAGTTGTCATTAGAACCACCCGTGCACAGTGGCGTATCATTGCATGTTGGCGCCCCCCTCCCCCGCCGAAAAAGCGCCCCCTAGTGGCGAGTGCACCGTCTCGGTTTACGATCTTAGTACTTACTACTTAACTTTAAATGGATCTTTAGGACAGTTCAATCTTAAACTTCTTTATCTTAAAATTGTAATCAGATGTCCATTGTAATCACATGTCAGATAGTGGAGAGTAAAATAAATTTATCTGATACCAATTTATTCTAAACTTCACACAACATCCCTCAACAGAGTTAAACAAGGGGATGTTCTCCTGTAGGGATGCTTCTCACTATAATATAGTTGCTTCTATAAAAACTGTACACTTAAAGTTGGAATGAAAGGATTTAAGAAAGAAATGATTTCTAAAAACAGTGTAAATGATTTTTATTTTTGGAATGTTTTGAATGAAGTTTTTTTAGGGAAAATTGAAGGACCCAGTTATTTAAGCAATAAGGAGACACATAATGAATATCTTTGGTTTCATCCTTTTGTGGCAAAGAAGCGTTTTATAAATCTTTATTCCACTGGGAAGTATTAATGAATTATTTATAGATAATGTATTAGATTTTTTTCTCACAATGTGGAGTGATTAAGTATAAAAATCATTCGATTAATAAGTAGTGCCATTCGGCGAGATCTTTGAAGACCACTGCATAGAATCTGTACTAAAAATATGACAAATCTTCCAGCGCTCGATTTTCACTATATAGTGAAATATGGCAAAATATGCGCGGCGCGCCACAAATTTAATGTTGATTTAATTTTGTGACCATTCTAGGTTAGATTTATTTTAATCAATACATTTTGTTGGCCATTCACATTTTGAACTAAATGTACAAAGTCGACTTATTATATGCTATAAATATATTTATTACATTATATACAGCTCACTGCCAACTGCTGTGTACCGCGATGCACTGCTGGGCCGCGCCGCGTATCAAATAATTCTTTTCACAAGCGATCTTCTATTCGGTAAATTGGCAAAATGCACCACTGTGCCTCGCCGAGCTGCAAAGGATTGGCATTTTGAATAAACTTGCTGGCATATAATTTGTATGCACCTGGCACAAAAGCTATTAGCTATAGCTTGCTGCTAACATACGCATCGGTTTCTTTCATTATTATATTGTGTATAATATTTATTATAATATCGTGTATTAGCAATATTTCACAATTATTTAATTAACGAAACACAATTTTTAAACTATATGTAATGATATCATTTAATGTTAAATTTTGTTGGACACAGGATACTAAGTTTAATGAAAATGTATTTTGATTCCTAATTGATTTAATATTTTTAATTGTGACGCGCACGATAAATACAAAATAATGAATAATAATGAATAAAATTGTCTTTCTTTGTAAAATGTGCAATGAATTAAATTTACTGAGCCCAGGAAATATAAATAGTTAGGGTTGTAGCGCGATGCACTACTGTGTACTGGGTCGCGCCGCGCATCAAATAATTCTTCTCGCACATCGCAACCACTTCGGTAGATCGGCAAAATGCACCACTGTGCCTCACCGAGCTGCGAAGGATTGACATCGTGAATCAATGGTTAGGGTAGGGCCCTATATACTAGCCCAGGAAACCTTACTGACAATTAAGGGTAGGGCCTAACTCAAAAGTAAAAGAGCTACTAGCTTATAGCGACTTCTTTTTTGCGAAATGTTTGACTTGTAAAAATAACGTTTCCCAACTAGGGGGCAATTTAAAACAATGTTACCTGAGGACCTCAGGCTATTATGTTCATATAGAGATTAGGCGGAATGACAGGCTGAGCGCGGCCCAGTAAAAAACAACGTAGATTTTGAGTTATTTTAAAATCGCCAGAAAAGTCTCATTTTGGGCCGATCAAAAGTTTTCAACTTTAACTTTGCAAATTTCTGTTTGCTGATCGGCTAAATTGTGTTATGTGCTAGCCATGCTTGACGATTGAAATGCGCCACGCGTGCAAATGTCGTGCGCGAGCTCATATCAAGCCGTTTGTTGTTGTTTAAATTAAACATTAAACCACCTGTACTTTTTAATAACACGGCCAGTCAGTAAGGTTTGCTCATGGGACGATGATTTTATTTGTTATCAATATGCTAAACTGCAACATATATTGTACGAATATCATTCACCCGTTAATATTTTCTCAAAAAAAAAATTTTCCACATTAATTACAAATCAATCATTTATAAATTTAATGCAAAATATAATCAATAATATGACTGAAATTGCAAAAAGTATGAAGTATAAATCGCATGTATCATAGTTTCACAAAAAGCACATTCAACTTGATACGTATACTATACACTGTAAACAATTTTATTTTGATATGCACCATGATGATGAAGTATGAACGAAGGTTTTGTTTTGTTGTATATGTGGAGATATTATATAAACTGCACCTTCAAATTGTATAGTTACAACTTATTATATTAGCCTTTAATACTATATTAAGCAATAAGCATGCACATTTCATATTACGTGCGCGCAAAACAAGGAAGTTTATTTTCGGCACTGGATAAGACGACATTTGTATATGGACACGTTCATTGAAGTTTGAGGATATTGGTAAATTTCTAAAATAGCGTTTTCGACGATAGTGGCTTAATTTTAGCATCTATTAATCTAGCGTGTTCATAAGTTCTGAACGTTAGCCACGTGACCCATACTCCCATATGCACTGCTCAGAAATAAAATGTATTGCTTTTAGGCACTATAATGTAAAAAATGTCACATTTTTGTGACATTGTTTACCATAGCTGCCCAATTATCATTCCTTGGTCTGAAATATAGTAGATTAGGTCAATCTAACAATTATGATACAACATTGGTTAAAGGGCACGGATCGAACGGCTTTAAGGCAATATTTCGTAAACTTTGTCACACTCAGAATACGAGACCTCTTTTCTACTGTGAGGTGTCCTCAAAACCCTTTCAACTCATTATTTGATGGTTCTTCTGCCAATCATAGCCCTAAAATATGTTCTTTTGAAAAGTTAGCTAATACATGCAATTGGTTATTGGGAAATGATGTAAATTCTGTCACATTATATGGAATTTGAAATTCTCGGTGAATTTCCGAAATCATTTATATCTGATTTTGGTTTGGAAGGCGGGAAAACTCTATATAAGGACGATACATGGATACAGTTGATTCAAGTATAGGGCAATTGATGTAAACATCGTCACAAAATGATACGACATCGTAAATAGGTTACATTTTGCGGGGAAAATCTATATAAGGACGATACACGGATACAGTTTATTCAAGTATAGGGCAGTTGTTGTAAACATCGTCACAAAATGATACGACATCGTAAATAGGTTACATTTTGCGGGAAAACTCTATATCAGGACGATACACGGATACAGTTGATTCAAGTATAGGGCAGTTGATGTAAACATCGTCACAAAATGATACGACATCGTAAATAAGTTAAATTTTGCGGGAAAACTCTATATAAGGACGATACACGGATACAGTTGATTCAAGTATAGGGCAGTTGATGTAAACATCGTCACAAAATGATAAGACATCATAAATAGGTTAAATTTGGAAACAATGATTATAGAATGAAATAGTCTGTGATTAACATATTACATACATTATAAAATGGGCCGGGGTTTTTATATTTCCTGTCTCTCTCTCTCTGTTCTGGTCAACGGTTTCTGGCCTCTTACTAAAAGATGGAGGCCTTCTCACCGTGCCCACAGAATGCAACTCCTGCTAGCTGCACGCCAGGACTCCCAAAGTATATACGAAATCATAAAATAATAAATATCAATGCAACAGACCCCTGGAGTCTTGAAGCTGTCACTACCTGTCTCAGAGCAAACCCACTTCCGTTGTAGTACTTCAGCGGGCAGACAAGGGACTTCCGAGCAAGGTCAAAGCCTGGGAGATATGTCTCTATGCAGAGATGGGCCTAGGTTGAGTTCCTAGTATGGGATTTAGCGAAAGTTCCTGGCGAAGAATCCTAGGAGGTTACCCAAAAGGGTTTTCCCTATCCAGTCTTGTCGACTGTTCCACAAATTTGAAGATATGATTGTAGTTTACTGTTTTTAAGGTAGAGTTTACCAATTATCCTCATTCTGAACGTCATGATCTGGATGCACTTGCAGAGGAGGTGCTGGGATGTTTCTGCTTCTCCTGAAAAGTGTTCACAATCTTGCATCTCGAAGTTGACGTTGTTTGCCACGTTCTGAAAATAAACTAGTGGGCTGTGACCTATCCTGAAAGCGACCATGTAAGCCATCTGATGTGAGTTCCAGAAAAATTAAAGTTCCTGTATTTATATTTGTGGAGGAACATCTCAAGTGGAATGTTCCTTTGTCACTGAGTGTGGCCTAATTGGGAGGAAGGGTTCTGGTCCTATGGGGATGTTGTTGGATTGATCGTCCCTTGCGAATTCGTCCGCTAGTTCTTTACCGTATACTCCTTCATGTCCTGGAGTTCTACTCGATGAGAATACCTAGTGAGTTGAGTTGGTCTGAGATGTTCAGAACAAACCTGGAGTTAAAACTGGTGCTGTTAAGCGCTTTAAATGCAGCCTGGGAATCTGAGATCCTAAGTTATCATTAGTCCAGATACTTGCCATGTATAACGCAAATAGCGGGTACAATTTCCTCAATGAACCTGAAGAAGGAATATCTGTCCTGAAATGATACCATGTATCGTCGAGCTAAAAAATAAATCAAAAGTTTTGAGTAAATCGTTAAACGTTGTATGTCCTATTTGCATCCCCTAAGCATTGCAATGATGTTTATTCCTGGTCCGGTTAGCTTTGCGTCACAGTACTAAAGAAGTCCACTATGCTTTAGTGAGCTATGCTGTCCACCAGGGTACTGTAGATCTAAGGGTTCCCCGTGTAATGGGGCAGGCTGTGAAAAAGCATCTCTGCAGGATGTCCGAGATGAACTGTTTTCGAGTGTTTGAGAACTTCCGCTGTAGAACTGAATAGAACCAGTTGCAGTAGGGGTGTCAGTCAAACACTGCTGGCTACTAGATGATTGTAGAGCGTCCAGTCACACTTCAATAAAGAGTGTGGCAAAGCTAACCCGGTCCCCTGAAAAGTGGTTACTGGAGGAAGAAGTGCCAGGAATTCTCGCTATCAGTGTGTCCTTGTAGTCAGAGTTGACATCCCTAACACTGTCTTATCACGAGCCTGTGTCTAGCGTGTGTCAGCCCTAACGCATTAGCTGTCTTAACTGAAAAGACCTGAAAAGTGGTTACTGGAGGGAGAAGTGCCAAGACTACTCATTATCAGTGTGTCCTTGTAGTCAGGATGAGCGAATTGGGATCCCTAGCTCTGTGGTGGGTGACTTCGATGGGACCTGAAAGCTGAAAGAGAATTTCCTGGTGATTTAATAGCTCTTAGAGCTATGTATCTGTGTCTAACGTATCGTCGTTTGTGTGTGTACTATCTTGTAACCTGATATCTGAAAGAGAAATTTCCTGGTGCTTGGTAGCTGTTAGTGTTGACTTCCTGGTTCCTATGGGAACTTTGAGTTGGCAAGTCCCAACCTTTGTACTCAACAAGAGAGCACACCACCCGTTAGTGCCAACCAGGCCACACCACGTGGAGGTTCGGAGAGGATTTCGTGACACGCTAATCTTCTCTGTATCGTTCCAATTTTAGTATATGCACT